AACTCAGCATATTCTTGATATCCACCCAAAATGTTATATTCTTGTGATCCATTCAAAATGTTAAGTATAACAATAATGCCTTTTTATTGCTGAGTAGCCTTTCATGGCACTAATGTAGCAGTTTGTTAGTCATATACTTGTTGAAGGACAGTTGGATGTTTTCCAGTTTTTGGCTCTTACAAATGAGGCATCCATGAATATATGTGTACAGGTTTTTGTCTGAATGTAAGTTTTCATTTCTCTGGTGTATATACTGAGTGTAATGTCAGAGGCACATGTAAATACATGTTTACTTTTATAAGAAATTGCTGAGCTTTTTTTCAGAGAGTGTGTGTGTGTGTGTGTGTGTGTGTGTATTCAGTCGCTCAGTTGTGTCCGACTCTTTGTGACCGCATGGACTGTAGCCTGCTGGGTTCCTCTGTCCATGGAATTCTTCAGGCAAGGATACTGAAGTGAGTTGCCATTCCCTTCTCCAGGGGATCTTCCCAACCCAGGGACTGAATCTGGGTCTCCTGCATTGCAGGCAGATTCTTTTCCATCTGAGCCAACAGGTTTTTTTTTTTTCTTTTCAGAGTGGAGGTACCTTTTTACACTTCCACTATAATGTTTAAGTGATCTAGTTTCTCTGCATCCTTGCCAGCATTTGGTATTATCACTATTTTCTAATTTGATCATTCTGATAGGTGTGTATTGATAGATCACTGTGGTTTTAACTTACATTTCCCTGATGGCTGTGATGTTGAACATCTTTTCATATGTTTATTTTCGATTTGTATTATCTTCTCAGTGAAATGTCTATTCATGTCTGCTGTCTGATTTTCTAATTGAATTATTAGTCTTTTTGCTGTTGAGTTTTGAAAGTTCTTTATGTATTTTAGATAGAAGTTTTTTGTTGGATATATGGTTTGTGAATATTTTTTCCCAGTCTGTAGTTTGTCTTTTCATCCTTATAAAGGATTTTTCACAGAGCCAAATGTGTTATTTTCAATTTTCCTTTTATGGATTGTGCTTTTGTTATCAAGAACCCATCTGTAGCAGGCTCACAGACTTAGGCAACGAGCTTATGTTTGACAGGGGGAAGGACGGGGAGGGACACCTAGGGAGTTGGGATGGACATGCACACACTGCTATATTTAAAGTGGATAACCTACAAGGGCCTGCTGTATAGCAGGTAGAGCTCTGCTCAATGTTACATGGCAGCCTGGATGGGAAGAGTGGATTTGAGGGAGAGTGGATATGTGTATGTGTATGGTGGAGTCCCTTCGCAGTTCACCTGAATGTATCACAACACTGTTAATGGCTATATGTCAATGCAAAATAAAAAGTTAAAAAAAAAACCTCCCCTGTAGCTGTAGGTCTTGAAGATTTTCTTCTTTATTTGCTGTACTTTTTTCCTTCTAACATTTTACATTTAAGTTCATAATCCATTTTGAGCCTGTTTTTAAATATAAGATGTGAGGTTACATTGAGATCCTGTCTGTCGCTTTCTTTCTTTGCCTGTGGATGCCCATTGCTTCAGCTGTATTTGTTGGAAAGAAACTTCATCCATTTTAATGCTATAAAATGACCTTTTTCTAGTTTAAAGCTTTGTTTGGTTGGGGGAGGTAGTCTTGAATTTAATTTTGTATCATATTATGATCAAACCTTATTTTGTGTGTATTTGCCTACTATATTTTTTGTCCATTGTTTTATTTTCAACATTCAAAAAACTTAGTTTTAGGTGTCAGTTTACATTATAGGGTTGGTTTTTATTTTATGATCTAGTCTGAAAGTCGTTTTCTTTCGCGCTGGTGAACTTAACTCATTTACATTCATTTAAATGAAAGATGTTGGTCTAAGTTTTGAAACATAATTTTCTATTTTGATTTTGGTTTTTATAACTTACAAACAAAATATCTAGGTATGTGGTATGTTTACCTTACTTTCGTCCAGTTATTTGTAAGAGGTTTATGTGAGAATATCGGAGAAGGCAATGGCACCCCACTCCAGTACTCTTGCCGGTAAAATCCCACGGACGGAGGAGCCTGGTGGGCTGCAGTCCATGGGGGTCGCGAAGAGTTGGACATGACTGAGCAACTTCACTTTCACTTTTTACTTTTATGCATTGGAGAAGGAAATGGCAACCCACTCCAGTGTTCTTGCCTGGAGAAGCCCAGGGATGGGGTCGCACAGAGTCGGACACGACTGAAGTGACTTAGCAGCAGCAGTAGCAGTATGTGAGAGTATAGAGGCAAATCTTCCTACATTTTAGGCTATCTATAATTTTTCTTATGATCCAGGGTTTAGTATGTTAGTTTATTCAGCTTTTACTTGTCTCTGGCTAATAAGGTTAGGCAACTGTATATAAAATTTTTCTTAATACAAAACTCTGCCCTGCTGCCATAGAAACAGAGTATTCTTTGTAAATAGGGCATTTATGAGTGATTTCTCTTTAAGCCCTGATTTTTCTGTTTCATTGTTGGAACCAAACTGGGGAATTTCTGCCTGTAGCATGTGTATCTTGTTTTCACTGTAATAAACAGGAGTTCTAACCTTTACACTTTGAGAAGTTTATCTTCCTGTCTTTTAGTGAGATAAGCAGTTTTCCTTCTCTGCTTTTATTCTTTTGAGCCCCTGCATGATCTCTATTGTTTTGGGGAACTCTTTCACATATTTTGAGAGATGAGTTTTAGCTTATCTTAATTTTATCAGAAAATGAAATTGTGTTTTTGTTTTTGTTTCCCTGCTGTTTGGATGATTTCCAAGAAGAGAAGGGGGAAATGGAGACTATGCCACTATTCTCCAAGTAGGAGTCAGTAGAAATATCCTTAATATCTTGACAAACATGTTATTGTATTGTCATAAATTAAGTTTAATTAGTGGGAGAGCAACATCTTTGTTGAGATAGCTAGAACACCTATTCCTGAAGTACTTTAGTTCTTTTCCTAAATTTTATTTTAAAGAATTATCTACTTAAAAGGATTTCATTTAACTTCTCCTTAAAAAATAGCTAACTCTGTTATAGTCTGTCTTTTTAAGTCTTGAAGACTTGACACTTAAAAATTTGTATTGTTTGACAGCTCCTTTTCTCCACCAGTTGTTCTGATAAAAACCAAAAGAAGAATTTGTTGTTCAGAAAGGGGTATTAGTAAGTTTTATTGTGAAATAAGGGACTGTATTTTCATTTTTACAACTTTTACACTTTGAAAATTACATATACTTTAACAAATATCTACCATTTAAGAAAATTAATAGATTTCCTACAGAGTTTTAGTCTTTATCTCTGCAGTTCCTTCTCCTGTGTCCTGTTTTCTCCCTATATGTTTTCTTTTCTACCTCCAAATCATCTGTCAGTTTGCCACTGTTTCAGTGGGTTTCCAGTGGGGAAATGTTGTGGGACTTTTCTACTTTTGGTAGAATATTTGAGGGCTGTCAGTTGTGTGTTTAACCTTTTTTTTCATCTCCCTTCCCTTGATAAAGAAGGCCAGTGTCTTTTTTTTTAATAGTAGGGTAGTTGTCCAAGAACCATGTAGGAATCTGCTGCTGGTTATTTTGGTGTTTTCATGTCATAAAAATAAACTGTCATAATACAAAAAACATGGACAAGTTATCTGTTGCTCTGTAACAAATTGCTTCAGAACTTTAGAGCCTAACAAATGTTTATTCTCTCTTTCAGTTCTTGAGGGGCAGGATGTGGGAGCAGCTTATTAGCTGGATGGTTCTGGCCCAGGGTCTTTTTTCATATATAAATTCACTTGAGCTATTGGCTGGGGCTACAGTCATCTCAAGGCTTAACTAAGGCTGGAGAATTACTTCTAAGCTCACACGTGTAGTTGTTGGCAGGCCTCAGCTCCTTCCTGGCTGTTTGCCAGAGACCTCTGTTCTCATGAAATGGGCTTTTCTATAGAGTTCCCTGAAGGTCTTCATGTCGTAGCAGCTGGCTTCTTTCAGAGTGAGTAATCCAAGAGAGAGAAAGATAGCAAGCTGAAGAGGAGGCCTGAGATGGAAACTGTGTATCTCTATAACCTAATCTTGAGGTGACATACTATCACTTCTGTCATATGCTGTTGGTCACACAGACCAACACTGGTGAGAGAGGGCTACACAAAGTTCAGAGTTGTGAATACCAGGAGACAGAGTTCTCTGGTGATGAGCTTGTAGGCTGATTCCTAAGAATAGCAATGATATATCAGAGTGAAGAACTAGTTTTCATACATATTATTTGAATTTACATTTAGATGCGATGTATTTCTTTTATAAAATGATGGATAATGTTTGTATACTTATTCTGATATGTTCTATGGAGAAAGGAATTTTGGTTTATTTACATTGAATTTAAGAGATGACCTGGACAAGTCTGTGATTAGGATCATTCTTTGATTTTCTTTTAATTCTCGATCATTTGATGTCTTACTAATGTAAAACCTAAAGAATAACACAAAATTTATGAAAGGAGATGTTTAGCTAAATTTACTTGTCAATTATTTATTTGATTGTACTATTTTGGTTTTTTCTCAAGATAGCTTATCTTGTTTGGTAAAGTTCCCTCTAATATTCAATAACGGGGAAGGAGTATCAACTTTACATTTGTATAATGCTCTGGATTTGTAAAATGTGTTTTTCCTAATGTATAGAAATAGATAAAGTTTTAGGGTTCTTATTTACCTAGTAAGAAGGAATTTTATAATTTGTTCTTAGTCTTTTGGAGGATTCATAGATCCCTCTGAGAGTGATAAGGGCAACGGTCTCTCCAGAGAAATGCACTTAGGTGCACAAAGGCAGTTTTGCAATTTGGAGGGACCGTCAGGAGGTTCATGAATTTTGGATTGAGAATTCCTCCTTTGAAAACACAGGTAGATTTCTGGTGGCTTCTGAAAGGAGGGCTTTTTTATTTTCAAAATACAAAGGAAAACATTGTCTCTGACTGTAATTAGAAATGTGTATTTGTTTTCATTTAATGTGGCTTCTAATTCATGTATCCTAATTATGGTTTTTGTTTCTGATTTTTGCTTCTTGTATAGCATCTGGAGCATAAGAACAGTGCTTATTTTCTTCTTTTCCAAGAGAACAGAAAGAAATAGTAAGTTTAATTTTGAAGTTTTTATAAATACATTTAAAAAACCCATCTTATATGGTGTGTTGGTTTGTAACTGAATGACAGGTTATGAAATGGTATACTGAAATGACAGTGTGGTAAATATTGAGAAGTTGTTCACTTTAAAGCATAAGAAAGTTTATGAATGATCAAACTGGTTCTATTTTTCAGTTGTGTTATTTCTGTCTTGTCCATTTAGAATTTTTTTTACTCAATACTCAAAATAAGTCATTTCTTTAGGTAAGAGAAATCACACTGCTTATCTTTATAGAAAATTTATGTTATTAGGGAGTAAAATATAGTCAAACATCTTTCCTTTCAGTCTCACAGTGGTGTGGAATGTATTATTACCAAAACACAAAGCATGGTGCTTTTTATGCATTGATGGTATAATTGTACTAAAGAATACACATATATATTGACTACCATGCTAAGTATTCATCATGATAGTCCCAACACACAGAAAAGCAATGTTAAGAAAAATTAGAACATTTAAAATAGGATATCTCATCATAGCAGAATTTCTTTGTAAAACTAAAAAGTGAAAATGGATCTTCAAAGTAAGTTTCTGAGTGGCTTATTTCTGAAGTAAAGATAGCTATTTACCAGTTGTGAGTTAATTAAATTATGTAATTGCAGCAAATGAAAAAATGTATTTAGGGAAGATGCTTGCTTGGCTAGTAGCCTTTTTAGCAAGAACAATTGGTTGAAGAGTTAAGAACACTGGAAGCAACATAGTTCATTTAAAAACAAGACAGATGATTTCAAGTGATTGTCAGCTGGCTCTTTTTTTTGTTTTTGGCCACACTGTTTGGCTTGTGGGATCAGTTCCCTGATCAGAGATTTAACCTGGACCATTGCAATGAAAGTGCTGAGTCCTAACCACTGGACTGCTAGGGAATTCCCTGTCATTGGTTCTTGATGAGTTGACAGATGTTACTGATACAACTCAATTGTAGTTTATTTGAGGCGTCAGTACTGAACTTGAAGTGACTAAAGACTTAGCCTCTGTAAACAGTCTGTGTAGAGCATGCTGGGAGAGAATATTTTTAAAGAAGTTGAAAAAGCACTAATTTAATACAACCAGAAGTGGACTCTTCTGAGATTCAATTACAACTGTTGGTGGTAAAAATATGTGTGAAGCAGAAAAAGGCTTAGTGGATTAATTTACAAAGCTCATGAAACTGTAAGGTGTTTAAATTCTGTGGTTATTTCACTGTGTTACTCAACAGCAGATATCAATACTTGCAGAGCATATTTGAACCTGTCATGGGTTATTGAACTCATAGTCAATGGGGAACTTCATTTGATTTCACAGACTTAATCATCATCAGTTATGTGATCTTTTATCAGAAATAGAAGTGGGGGGACTTCCCTGGTAGCCCAGTGGTTAGGAATCTGCCTTGTAACACAAGGGGTGCAGGTTCAATCCCCAGTTGGGAAACTAAGATCCCGTTTGCCACGGAGCGATTAAGCCCATGCACTGCAACTAGGGAGTCTGTGTGCCTCAAAAAAGGATCCTGCATGATGCGATGGAAGATCCTGCGTGCCACAACTAAGACCTGACACAGTCAAATAAATAAATAAAAGAAATAGAAGCAGTTGGATGGATTAGTAATAGTAGTAAAGTTTTATTATGATATTTTGAGCTCAGCCAGGACCAACATGTTTCTGAGGCAGACTGCCTTCAATCACTGTGAATGAACTGGCTTTGGAAATTAGGTCTTGCAGACTTGATAATGGTTCTTAATGAACTCAGCCTAAGATTGCAAGGTGAAACAATCCTCATATGTGAAACCTACAGTGCTATAAAGTGATTTAGAAAGCAAATAACAATTTAATGACAAAAAGTAATTTTTTAAAAAGTGCTATGAAAAGTTAAGAAGCAAGATCTCCATTCCCACACAGATTTGTAACAGATATGTTATATGAGCTCAAACTGCAGTTCCAGCAGTGTTTTCCACACCTCATGCAAGTACAAAGGAAATTTCCATATTTCAAAATCCATTTAACTGAAAGTGGTTAATTTGCAGTGACATAATAAAGACAAATATCAAGAGAAGGATCTAAAGAATTTTATAAATGCCTTTCACACAGTGAATATGCCCAATTAAAATCATGTGGTTATTGATTAATTTAAATATTTAGCAGCATCTATCTGTGTGGAAAAGTTTTTTTTTGTTGTTGTTGTGAAAAAGCTTTCAAAAATAAAATGTGTGAACAACTACAGATAAACTAACAGATTGACTTTTGCAATCAGTTTTGGTGGTATGGGATACTAATTTTGAATCTCAATTAAGTGAAATGTTATCCCCCACCTACCTCCTAAAATTTTTCTTTTCATTGGTAGACCTACGTTATGAACAATTCACCATAATTATTATTATATTTGAATTTTGCCATTAAAAGTTTTGTGGAAATTCATTTACTCTTTTGCTTTAAACCAATTTAACTTTGCCTTTTAGCCCATAAAGCCATTTGTTGTCTGGCCCTTTATAGAAAAAGTCTGTTGATCTCTGCATTAGAGGCTAAATATTTTGCTTGGTCTTATCTGAGTAAAGATGATTGTTCTCTTTAAAGATGTCAGCAGTTTTTTTCTCCTTTCAGTAATAAATCAGCTATAACATTAAAGACTACTTAATACATTTTGGAAAAAATATAGTAAAACCATCTTTTCTGAAGTTTATATTTCTTTGAATTTTTATGTAAATAATATTTGAATTGATATTGAGATGTTTGCTACTCCAAAACTTCAATGAAGAGATAATTTTGTAAGTAAATTTAATGAAAAATTAAGAACAATTACTTAAATTCTATTTGGTAAAAATTTTTAAAATTAATCTAGTTTTTAATTGAAGGATAATTGCTTTATAAAATTTTGTTGTTTTCTGTCAAACCTCAACCTGAATCAGCCATAGCTATACATATATCCCTTCCCTTTTGAACCTCCCTCCCATCTCCCTCCCCATTCCAGCCCTCTAGGTTGATACAGAACCCCTGTTTGAGTTTCCTGAGCCATACAGCAAATTCCTGTTGGCTATCTATTTTGCATATGGTGGTAAAATGTTTAAATCAAGTTTTATGTCTCTTCTTTCTCGCTGAGATAGTATTCCTATTTATGCTAGTTCAATATTTCTAGAGAAAAACTAGAAACCTAAAATAAATTTGTAAAGCAGATACTGATGTTCATAAATTACATAAATTATATCCTTTGAAATGTTTCTTTATGTTCTACCAGTACAACCTAACTAAGCATGCAAATCTTGGAAAAGTTTAATTTTGAAAAGTAATTAGTAACATCTTTCTTTCCAAGTCCCTCCTCAGGTGTAATACTGTAGGTTTTCAAAGGTTTTCTTTTTAGTGCTCATTTTCTTGAAGATCAAATAGCTTAATAAAATGTTCTTTACTTATAAATAAAGAGAACATTTTTATTACCAATGTATAAAAAGAAAATCAGTTTTAATTTTGTAAATTAACATGGGTGGGATGTTGAAAGGAAGGAGAAATTATAAAAAGTGATGTGTCTGAAAATATTTAAAAATACATATTTTTTTACATTTGGGAAAAGTGTTTTATCCTATGTAAAGTCCATTTTTTTCCCAGCTGAGCTTGTAGTATATAATATAGGCAAATATATAAAATATATGTGGGTAAAGATGAGAAAACTTCTGTCAGTACACATCAGTGAGAAATCCTAAAATGAGAATGTTTTCTTGCAGTTGCTTAATGTATATCATTTGACATGATTTTTTTCTTGTATCTTAAGCATCTTAGTATCTGATTTAGTTTTGGTTTAAATCTTGTTTTCTAGATGAAGCATTGGATGATTTAAAATCCCAGAAGAAAAAAATAGTAAGTTAACTTTTATTTAAGTTAATTTGTATAAAGCTAATAAATTAAGGACTGAATAATTAATGTTTATATGCTGTAAGTAATGACTCTCTAAGGAACACATATGCTTTTAAATAGCAATTTAATGGTGAAGCTAAATTGTGAATATTTTTGCTAGTAAATAATGATTGACAGGAAAAAGTAGTTAGATGGACTTATGAGATTCTGAGAGTCCATGTCAGCTGGAAACTGAGAAGTTAGTAAATGAATCATTTTGGAGCACTAAATGAGGCAGAGGGGTAAAAAGGTGAGTATCTAGTTTTATTATTAGGGCCAAAAAAAGGGCCAAATGTCATATGTCAGTTCTCAGATTTTTTTGACATAATAAGACTAAGAGAGAGGGGAATCAAGAGGATTGGCTGTAAAAGAAATTTAACAGTGAAAAAAGAAAAATAACCCTTAAGAAAAGGTGGGGGTGGGGAAGAGAATATTTCTTACTTGATTTCTTCCATTGTCTATCAGCAGTTCTAATTACATGGGCATCTATTGTGGGGCCAGTTAAATGCATCCTTCAGATGAGGACCAAGAGAGAAGGACTTCAGATATTTAGAGGTTGATACTTAGTAGTTTTACTAAGTGAATTGAACTTGATGTTTGACTTGAATTTACATATACTTTTTTCACATAATTATTTTTGAAATATAAAAATGATAGTTGACAGGAGTATCATGTTATATGGAAACTTATTTAGTGATATTTAATCATATGCAAAGTCAATTTAATGTAGTTTAGTCTAACATCCCATCTGAGCTATTTAAAATCCTAAAAGCTGACACTATTAAAGTGCTGCATTCAACATGCCAGCAAATTTGGAAAACTCAGCAGTGGTCACAGTACTGGAAAAGGTCTGTTTTCATTCCATTCCCAAGAAGGACAGTGCCAAAGAATGTTCAGACTACCATACAGTTGCACTTATTTCACATGCTAACAAGATAATGCTCAAAATCCCTCAGGCTAGACTTCAGCAGTATGTGAACTGAGAACTTGCAGTTGTACAAGCTGGATTTAGAAAAGGCAGAAGAACCAGCAATCAAATTGGCAGCATCCGTTGGATCATAGAGAAAGCAAAGGAATTCTAGAAGAACATCAATTTCTGCGTCATTGACTTTGCTAAAGCCTTTGACTGTGTGGATCACAACAAACTGTGGAAAATTCTTAAAGAGATAGGAGTACCAGACCACCTTACTTGCCTCCTGAGAAACCTGTATGCAGGTCAAGAAGCAACAGTTAGAACTGACTGGTTCAGAATTGGGAAAGGAGTAAGAAAAGGCTGTATATTGTCACCTCCTTATTTAACTTATATGCAGAGTACATCATGTGAAATTCTAGGCTGGATAAATCAGAAGTTGGAATCAAGATTGCCAGGAGAAATAGCAGCAGCATCAGATATGCAGATGTTACCACTCTTAATGGCAGAAGTTTAAGAAGAACTAAAGACCATCTTGATGAGGATGAAAGAGGTGAGTAAAAAAGGTGGCTTGAAACTCAACTTTGAGAAAAGTTAAGATCATGGCATCTGGTCCCATCACTTCATGGTAAATAAAAGGGGAGAAAGTAGAAGCAGTAACAAATTTTATTTTCTTGAGTTGCAAAATCACCGAGGATGGTGACTTCAGCCATGAAATTAAAAAATGCTTGCTCCTTGGAAGAAAAGCTGTGACAAACCTAGATAGCCTGTTAAGGAGCAGAGACATACCTTTGCTGACAAAGGTCAGTATAGTCAAAGCTATGGTTTTTCTAGCAGTCACGTACTGATTTGAGAGTTGGACCAAAAAGAGGGCTGAGCACTGAAAAATTGATGCTTTCAAACTGTTGCTGAAGAAGACTCTTGAGAGTCCCTTAAACTGCAAGGAGACCAAACCAGTCAATTCTAAAGGAAATCAACCCTAAATATTCATTGAAAGGACTGAGGCTGAAGCCGAAGCTCCAATACTTTGGCCGCCTGATACGAAGAACTGACTCATTGGAGAAGACCCTGATTGAGGGAAAGATTGAAGGCAAAAGGAGAAGAGAAAGGGTGTCAGAGGAGAAGATGGTTGGATGATATCACCGACTCAATGGACATGAATTTTAGCAAACTCAGGGAGATAGTAGATGACAGAGGAGCCTGGTGTGCTGTAGTCCATGGAGGGGCAAAGAGTCAGATACTACGTAGAGACTGAGCAACAACAATGTAATAAGTAACAATTATGGGTGAACCTAATAAAAGTTATGAAGGTTAAGATTAATGTTAAAAATTGTTCTGTGAACTGATAAGATACTAGTCAAGGGATTTAAGTACCTGAAAAATAAAGCAGCTTTAATTTTGAAAGGATTCCTTATTCTTTTTTTGTTTGATGTCCCTCAGTATTCTGTGAGGTATTTATCAAAATTGCTTTGACATTTTTGATGGTCGTAAATTGAGTTGTATCTTATTGTATCCCATTGTATCTTATTTTATTTCTGGCATTTTATGTGTTATTGAACAGCCAGAAGTTCAAAATGAGGAAGTGCCAACAATTCTCAATAATATAGAAGTTGTGATATGATTGGTTTAGTTTGCTGATGTGATGAAGAAGATCTGATAGTGTTGATGAAAGCCAAGCCCTACTTGTACCAAAATGGAGAAATACTGATTAACATAGAAAAGGCAAAGAGGAAGACAAAAAAGGAAAAAAGAAAAGTTCCAAGTGATGAGAAGCTGATTCAATGTCAGTGGAATTACATGACCAGAAAGCAGAATCTTAAAGAACATATATGTTTGGGGAAAAATTCTTGGTAGAGGAACAGAACAGACTTAGAAAATTCTATGAGAGAGCAAACTAAGCTATTTACTTCTTAAATAGCCCTTGATGGAATTGCAAAATAGAAAATGTGCATCTAGGTCTGCCAGTTGGGAAATTCAGTTCAAAGTTCAATTGTTTTGTATGTATAAATGGTTTATGAGGCATCAGTGTTAAAGAATAGTTCAGAATGGCATTTCTCTTGCAGTATGATTAGAGAAAAATAAGTTAGCTGCACTCTAAGGGAACACGATTTGCATTGAATTGATTGTTGCAGGTTACAGTACTGTTGCTATTAGGAACTAGTCCCTTGTCTTTAATGCTCAAGCCCTCAACAGCTGCTTTGTTTCAGAAGTACTTTATACTTTGTTTAGAACAATGGGTGTTAAAAGGTGAATTTATAAGGAGTACAGTGTTAGCTAGTGATTGTACTGGTAATGAGAGGAAAAAGAAGGGACATTGCTTTTCAGCGAAAATAAAATGTAACCAAAACTGATACTGTTCATTGATATTTTACCCTACATTTAAAGCTTTAAATATACTGACATGAAAAATAACTATTAGTTTAAAATTACCCAACTCTTAACTCTTTCATTAAAAAAATTAATATAAATTGTATTTACTACTTGACATTTTATTGAAGGTGGTTTCCTCAGGGATGCATCTCTTTAATCTGGATAGATCTGTAATGTAATTTGTAATTTGTGAATGTGTAATTTGTAACAGTAAACATGAATTATCAATTGATTAAAGCATTACTTAGAAAGGAAAATGAGTAAGAAAAATCTTTTAAAACAATGTTTTAAATCTAAGGACTTAATATAAGTATTTACTTACTAAAATAAAACTAGAAATTAATTTTTAGTTACCTAAAAAGTCTCCCAAGTCTAGATGTGAACATTTTGCCACTCACATATTTTGTGGTCTTTTTTTTTTTTTTAAACTTTTCATTTAAAAAAAAAAATCACTGTTCAACAGATAATCCATCTCTATCCATGAGCATTCCATTAAAACAGTTCAAAGTCAAAATCCATCAAAACATGAGTCAAAATGACCTCTTTAAGTGGCTTCATGAAAATTCTGTGCTTTTTTCTGAGTAGTACAGGTATTTCTGTGTGGTAAGTCCTTCCTGCCATTTCTCAGGCAATTTATATTTTTCCAAGTCCTGAGGAGAATTGTTTGAAAAATTGGGAACATGGGAAGAAATATTATAATTCTCTGAGAATTAAAACTTAACAATCACTACAAATGTTACTGGTTCAAAAGAATCTACTGCCAATTGAAAGCAGGAGCAAAAAACTGCTGACATGCTTGCTGCTAAGTCGCTTCAGTTGTGTCTGACTCTGCGTGACCCCTTAGACGGCAGCCCACCAGGCTCCGCCGTCCCTGGGATTCTCCAGGCAAGAATACTGGAGTGGGCTGCCATTTCCTTCTCTAATGCATGAAAGTGAAAAGTGAAAGTGAAGTCGCTCAGTTGTGTCCGACTCTTTGCGACCCCATGGACTGCAGCCCACCAGGCTCCTCTGCCCATGGGATTTTCCAGGCAAGAGTAGCTGTAGGTTAATGTGGACATTTCAGGTAACAGGACAGAAGCACACAGAAGAGAAGTGGCACAATCTACTTAGTCTTGCTTTTGTGGCCGTGTTCGAAGTATGTTTTGGGCCTTGTCTCTTATAATAGTGAGTTATTCTTGCAAATCAATGTTAGTAAGTTTATTTATTATTTATTATTTTTTAAGGACTTCTTTTGCTTCCACAGTTTATTCCATGGAATGTCACTCACAGTATGTTGTAGTATACTCTGTACAGAATCCTGTACAAAGTGACGTTCCATAAAATAAATTTTGGAAGCAAAAGAAGTCTTTAAATTGACAATTTTAGCATATGATTCTGTGTGGGCTATTAACCACACTAGAAGTTTCAACTGTTACATTTTTATATTACCCAGTAATATTTTCTGGCATTTTCCAGTGTTTGAATATTCACTATAGGCTACAGATCTTTGTGAATACTTTAACAGAAGAAATGCAGAGAGAGAAGTTAGTGTTATTGTGGACTATGCCTATGTGAAATCAAAAAATAATTTAAAATCTGAATTGTTAAAAAAATATTGATTTCAACAGCAAAACTAAAATCAGGGTAAGCAGACAATATTTTCTGGTTCAAAATTGGGAAAGAAGTATGTCAAGGCTGTATATTG